TGTTTTGAGTTTGAATAACTCTGACTTGTACTAAATAATGACATTCCGATAACTGTCAATTATAATCAAATTTTGTATTTGGAACTAGGAGCATTCTATACAGCTTTAGTGACAGCATACAGTCCTTCGCCGTATTTCATAAACTCATATTTATACCTGTGTTAGCGCGTATTCAAGCTAATAAAATGGCTATAAGGTCATGAATAGCATTAAATCACAATAGGTGATTATCGCATTGTCAACATCAAGCTGTCTGTTTTCTTCAACGTCCTGTTCTTTTCACTTAATAGTCTTGAAATCTGTGTCAACACGAAATCTTTCACTGTAAATTTTTTCTAGTTATGTAGATCTAGTTAGGAAAATTGGCACTTATACTAAAATTTGCTAACATATGGCAATTAACTAAGGTTTTCAAAAATATGCATTGTCATCGTATCTGATGTTTTTATGGGTTGGATCAGCAACAACGCTCGAGTATTCGAGTGCTACAGCGGCGTTCCGCGGTCGGTCGGACTTTCGTTCCGCGCTTGCGCCGATATGACGGTAACATGTTGCGCATGTTTCTGCAGTGTCCGCATTTTTTCACTCATTTTAGCGGTCTCCTCGGCCGGGTATCGTTTTTTCCTCTTGCAAAAGAATCAACCGAGAATCGCCGACGCCAAGAGAGCTCACCTGCACCGACAGAGGCACAAATTTGCTGTCCGTCATTCGTCAGCGATGTCCGGTTTACAGAGCATGTGGCGGTGGCTTTCCGGAGAAGCGATGAGCACAAGCCGTAGCAGCAAAGCGACGAGAAGCGATAACACGCGAACCGAATATCCTGCTAATCACTTACAGTATTTAAATTCTCTACGTAAATGCTCGCCGTGCAAAGCCGGCATCAGATTAAGGGATTACATTTACTAGCAGAATCGGAAAGCTACCATTCTTGATAGTTGTCGCAGAACGTCGGGGTTTGTTTTTTCGTCTATTTTTGTATTATTTTATTACAACATCATTGGAGGAGACGGACGCTGGTCGTGATCCTTCAGAGACATTAAAATAAATAAAAGTGGATTTGTCTGAAGGGGAACGCCACAACGGAATGTTCACATAAACCACTGGGTCAAGTGTCGTTAATAGATGATCTCGTCATATTGGTATGCTTCCATACCAGCCTTCAGCGTGCATATTACACGTCAGATACAGTATCTGTGACGAGGAAGCCTTTCCGAACCAAAGTCTCTGTACTCTCGGGAAAAGTCGCTTAACCTAACCTAATTGAATGAAATGCAACTGAGGCAAGTGAAGCAGTTCGGGTATCTAATTACCCTCATTAGGGAAAGCATTCAGAGCGAATGCCTAGACGGACGTGAAAATAGACGTATGGAACTGTAGCGAGAAGAGTGAAAGTGAGCTAAACGCTTAACTGGTGGTAAAGAAATAACTGAGCAGCAGTGCTAAACAGTTTATGAAAAGGTCTGTTTAGGCGCCTACCATCACCTGCGGTCAAAAGAGGTTAGAGAAAAAGTGCCATGTTGGATACCAGCGGCAAGAACGAGGTCCTTTCGAAAGATTCTGAAGGTTCAGAAGCTCAGTAAGCTTCCAATCATGGGAATTAATGATGCCCTCGCTTGTGGACTGTTTCTTTTCAAGATAAAATTCAGAAAATCCGATATTTTGCGCACGTCACCAGGATGCTGGACCAGACAGGCGCAAGATGAACCTTTTTAGCAAAGATCCATCGTAGGCGGCCAAATTCAACAGCCAGATAGCTGGGGCACGATGTGCGCCTAACACTTTTACTTTTCGGAATGCAGTCCGCGAAGCTAGCTTGATTAACAGAAGGACGTAACGACGGGAAAAATTT